GGGGAAGGACTCGCACAAGCTGCTGGACCGCCTGTTTGCCAACACCATGCCCAAGGTAGAGCACAAGTGTGCTTTATTATTAACACCCGTGTGAGCTGTTTGAAGTGCACGCCGCCTCTCTCTCCGACTCATTATCCTCTGTGTCTGCAGGTGGGCCTGACTAATATCAGCCACATGTTGACACCCACCGGAAGAGTCTTCGCTGAGGTCACCATCACCCAGCTGGCACCAGGAGAGTTCCTGCTCATCACGGGCTCTGGGTCAGAGGGGCATGATCTCAGGTGAATCTGTGCTTCATCTGGCTCCGCTTAATCAGGCTAACAGTAGCTAGCTTGGTAGTTTAATCCTGCCTAAATAAACTCAAGGAATTCATTGTCTCATGCTTTTAAAAATGCCACCAGTGCACATTCATTCAATTAAAAACCATAATTTAAAAAAAGTTAAATAATAGCTCCTTCCACTTTCCAACTCTATGAATTGTAGTCATTGTAGTTTTCGTACTCAAAAGCATTGAGGCATGCGTTCTGAAAAAACTACACTCATGCATCTTAGCAGCAATCAACCAGGGCCACATGCACCAACCTCCACACACACAAGTAGACAAATAATATTCACAGAGTACATGATGTTAGTTCTCACACCCTGGACAGAGCTGAGCCCCGAGCCGTGCTGAAGAAAACTCTCACAGTCTGTTTTATACGGCGGAAACCTGAAACCTTTCAGCAGCTGTCAACACGACTCCCCTCAATTTGCTCCAATCGGAAGGCAGTGTGACATTAAAACGTTCTCTCTAACCAACGACACGTTTCATGCTGTGTAGCGACCTCTGCTGGTAAAGACTACAGATGGAGAGTTCAACAAGATCACGTCATCCTGTGAGACCTTTTCCCACACATGGCTGATAAGTGACAATATGTGAAATCATATTATAGAGTCATGTTTATGTTCAGTGTCACTCACCAAAACGCATTGTGTGTATCCTTGAGGTCCTCACAAAAACATGTGCACAGCATATTTCCTTTAAAGGAACAGTGCGTAACATTTAGGAGGATCTACTGGCAGAAATTAATTATAATATTAATAAATATGTTTTCTTCAGTGTCTAATCACCTAAAAAGTAAGAATTATTGGGTTTTCGTTAGCTTAGAATGAGCCGTTTATATCGTTTCTACAGTAGCCCAGAACGGACAAACCACTCTGCATTGTCTTCTTCACTGTGGTCAGAAAACACATGGGGGACAACGTTGTTTGGGTCTCAATGGCCGGAGCTGCAGCATTAACTTCCACCGTACATTCACCAACTAACTAACTGCCCCGTGCCGACTTATTCGCTCATTTTTGCCACCACTCGCCACTCGCTCATTTTTGCCGCCACTCACTTCCCAGTACACACACACTGGCTCTGTTATTCTACACACTACTCTTAAAGCAACTGGCTTCAGCGTAGGCCACCATAGTTCTCCTACATGCTTTGCACGTGGTAGACGTTTCAACTGGTTGCAATCTGCAACCTCGCCGCTAGATGGCGCCAAATCCTACACACCGGACTTTTAAAATCATTTAAAATCATTTTTGCCCAGTCTTTAAAACTCCAAATTTTAACCCTTAATAATGCGTTTGTTCAACATGCATAGCAGCGATAGTGATACAAAATTCACCTGCTAAAAGTTTTCTCTGTGTATTTGAACTTTCTTCAGGTGGATAGAGGACGAAGCTGCAGATGGAGGGTATGACGTGGACATCGGAAACGTAACAGAAGATTTAGGCGTGTTGGGCATCGCGGGGCCAAACTCCCGCAAAGTTCTTCAGAAGCTGACGGATGAGGATTTGAGTGACGACGGGTTCAAGTTTCTCCACTGCAAGTCCATCCAGTTGGCCGGCGTTCCCGTCCGGGCCATCAGGATCTCCTACACAGGTACTGCACACTTTGTGAAGTTACTTCCTGTTTGATTTAACAAGTACTGGTCTTATTAAAACAATGACAAACTTTGTGTGAATAATGAGTTAGTAAATTAAACTTATGATGTTCTAATTCTGAACTAAATCAAAATGATATTATGAGATGTTGAGTAAAATTTGGTTTTACAAAGTTAAAATTATGAGAAACTAAGTCACTTGTGCACTTAAGTTACTGAAGTATTTCATAATTCTCAATTAGTGCATCTTTTATTTTTGTTTTGCTGCAACAACAAGTCGATTAATTGATTAGATCGACAGATAAATAATCTGCAACTGCTTCAATAATCAATTGTTCAGGTACTTGTAAACTACACAAACTAAAGACTGCTAAAGGCCGCTGCCCAGTTGACGGCCCTGCAACTGTCTTGACATACTGGTCAGTGATACTAAATGTGTGTGTGTTCGTGTGTGTGTGTGTTCAGGTGAGCTCGGGTGGGAGCTGTACATCGAGCAGAAGAACACGGCGACTGTGTACCAGGCCATGATGAAAGAAGGAAAAGACGAGGGCATCGACAATTTCGGCGTGTACGCCATGTCCTCCCTCAGACTGGAAAAGGGCTTCAGAGGCTGGGGAGCCGAGGTACACACGCACGCGCACACACGCGTGTACACACACACACACACACACACACACACACACACACACACACACAGGAGGACAAGTAAGAGTACGTCACAAGTTTTCTTCTGATTGAACAAACAAGATATAACATGTTCATCAGTGAGCTTTAAAGGTGCTGGTACGCAGATTTTGTTAACTTTAAAAGAGCTAGGCTAGCTTTTTCCCTCTGTTTCCAGTCATTATGCTAAGCTAACTGGCTGTTGGCTGTAGCTTCATATTTACTGGGCAGACATGAGAGTGATATCTAATCTTCTGATCTAACTCTTGGCAAGAACTTGTGAACTATTCCTTTAAGGTTATGACTTTTGACATCTGTCGATCTTTACAGATGAACTGTGACACAAATCCTCTGGAGGCCGGATTGGATTATTTCATCAAATTGAACAAGGTAACCATCCATCTCGTTTAACATACATTAACAAGTTTCTACGATTTATTTCCTCTATAACCAGGAATAAATTCTGAATAACACTGTTTTCTGTTGTCCAGCCCGCTGACTTTATTGGCAAAGCCGCCCTTCAGGAGATCAAAGCCAAGGGCCTGAAGAGGAAGCTCTCCTACATCACTGTGGACACGGATGACATCGACCCCGAAGGCAACGAGACCATCTGGCACAATGGCAAGGTCAGCAACGGCGGAAGTTGCTCGGTGAGGCAGTTTTTCAGGGTTATTTTTGTGGTTATTTCTCACATGAGCGAGGTGCGTCTTCCCTCGTCAGGTGGTCGGCAACACGACGTCTGGAGCCTACAGCTACAGCAGCCAGCAGAGCCTGGCCTTCGCCTACCTGCCTCCGGAGCTGTGCTCGGTGGGCCAGAAGGTGATGGTGGAGCTGCTGGGGAGGAAATACCGCGCCATGGTCATCCAGGAGCCCTTAGTCCTCACCGAACCCACGCGGACCCGGCTGCAGAAAAAGGCAAAGGGAAAATCATAAGATGTCCTCGATCAGTTCCTCACACGCTAATGAAAAAACGATTTTATTGTGATATATCAACGAGAGTCTTAAATCCATGAACTGGACTGTTTGTGGTCACCTCACAACTTCTAGTTCCTGTCTTGTCTCTTCACGAGGGGGAAGTTGAGAACAGATTGCGAGTGTGATTCATGAATGTGGTTTTTGAGCAACAGGGAAATAAAAATATTTAATGTTCCTGCATCGAAATGTCTCAAAGTTCTGGGTGAGTAATTTACTTTTTGTAATTCTCTGAATGGATGTTAATGTTTCACAAGTCGAGCGTTTTGTGAACGATGCTTGAATTCTTGAAATTTCAACTGGAAGGGGTTGAAGGAAAAAAAAAGCCTTTTGCGTTTATTTGAAGAAAAAGCTGCATTTTTAATAGTCTTATTGGCATTTAGTGATAAATGTAACAAAGTATACAAACAATAACCAACAGAAACAAGAGGCTCACCAACTTGTACAAAGATTGTTTTATAAATCTGTTCTTCGTTTTACGAATATGTAATTAAACTGGTTTATATTAATACCTTGATAATTAAATCAATGCACTCAATGTCTTGTATAAGTTGTTTTTTGTGTCTTAACTACTTTCCCTCTTCCTTAGTGTGCAAGTCTTTCATTTTCTAGAGTTTTGTCAGACTTTATTTTTATTTCATTATAGTTTTTATTTCAAAATGCTTTTTTGTCAAAAGTCTTATTTTTCCTAATTCACCCGACTGAATACATTCAATAGTAAGACCACTTGTGCAAAGTAACATCCATGCAACAGCGGCCCCTGCTTGTATACTACAGTATAGTTTATCATGTTTGTATACTATATGTTGTATACAGTACATCCACTGTACAGTAATATTACAATATTATGACATATATACTGTATAATAGAAATCAAAGAATACCATGATATATAATTTGATAAAATACATACAAGCACACTCGTAATATAGTGTTATACAGCCGAATGAGTAATGTAATGCAATAAAAAATAAAATGATGATGGATATGTTTCTACATCTTCATTACATTCAAATTAGGTCTCCGGCTATCAATTACTTTTATCAATAAATCTGATTATTGTTTTCTCGATTGATTGATTCAAACAAAATAAATTATCTAACAAAATAGTGACACATTCCAAATTTCTTGTTTTTTTCTCACCAAAACCAAAATATAATCATGTAAAGTGGCGTTCGAAAAGCGAATTTTAGAGATATTTTAACTTGGAAAGTGACTGAAACGATGAATCTATTGTCAAAATAGTTGCAGATGAATTATCGGTTAATCGGCTAATCGATTAATCAACAACATTCAGCTCTAATCCAACTCAATGGGTCGTTTTTCCTCTATGGCTGTTCTAACCGACGCGACTCGTATTTATATTTACTCAAGTGGGCTTCCATACATTCACGTGATTGGCTGTTCTTTTCCAGTTATCTGATTGGCTGCCGCAGTCGTTGTACGTTTTCAACCTGCGGAACACGGAAGTGACAGCTAGACGCGGTTGTAACTTATATATATATCAGTGATTTATTACTTATATCATTACAATGAAGGGACTAACCAGTTAACGAAGCCAGTAAATCAATAAACATAACCTAACGGACGTCCTTGTTCACTTTGCGACGAACTTAGTTGGACTAATGGCGCTCATAACTGAGAAACTAACGATGGATTATTCGCTTTTCATAGCTGTGTTTCTTGTAAGTTCCTCTGTGGCTTTAGCGGCCGAGCGGCCTCACGTCGTCTTCATCCTGGCGGACGACTTCGGTTGGAACGATGTCGGTTATCACAACTCTGAGATCAGCACGCCGAACCTGGACAAGCTGTCTGCAGCAGGAGTCCGCCTGGAGAACTACTACGTCCAGCCTCTGTGTACGCCCTCCAGGAACCAGCTCATGACCGGGAGGTACCAGGTGAGACCCGCACCCTGCTGCACGGCTGTGTGTGTTTCTATGGCTGTGCACAGAGGGGTCCTAGAGGATGTGGTGGTAGAAGTACACGTTAAAGTACAAGTACCACACTGTAGAAATACTCTCCTGCAAGTACAAGTCCTGCATTCAAAACCTTACTCACGTAAAAGTATAAAGAGTAAACGTACTGTCAGTGTTTTACTATTATATCTGATGTTCCTGCTGCAATAATGTGTATTTGTACTGAAGCACAGTACTTGAATAAATGTATTTAGTTGCATCCCCACCAGTGGGAGCCGGTAAACACTGGATGTCTATTTAATGATTGATTAAATTTACTTTAAATGTGAAGCGAATCATAAGAAACTTAACATTAAAGGAGCCTCCTCTGCATCATGATGACTTTGGGTTTGTATACTTTTCCGTGTTTGGAAGAACTTTCCAAAAATCTAACTTTAACGCTGGTGGAAAGAAGAACAAACTGACCTTATTTTGAAACTTCAGTTTGCATCACTGTCGCCGTTGGGTTCCTCTTTTTGCTATTCTCACATGTTGCTTTGGGCCATTTTCAACACGAGGTGTATTTATTTCCTAACATGTGTTTTTTATTTTTAACCTCCTCAGATCCACACGGGCATGCAGCATCAGATCATCTGGCCCTGTCAGCCCTACTGTGTGCCTCTGGATGAGAAACTGCTGCCCCAGTGGATGAAGGAGGCGGGGTACGCCACACACATGGTGGGCAAGTGGCACCTGGGCATGTACAAGAAGGACTGCCTGCCCACGCGCCGCGGCTTCGACACATACTTTGGTATATTTCAGTAAGAATACACCTTTGATGTAGCTACGGAGGCAGTTTTATTCCTAATATTTGGATCAACGTGTGCTCCAGGCTACCTGTTGGGCGCCGAGGATTACTTCACTCATGTCCACTGTGCTGCCATCTCTGCTCTGAACCTCACTCGCTGTGCGTTGGACCTGCGAGAAGGAGAAGAGGTCACCGCCGAGTACACAGGAGTTTATTCCACCGAGTTGTTCAGCCAGAGGGCCTCCAGTATTATTGAAAACCACAACTCCAGCAAGGTCACACACACACACACGCACACGCACACACACACACACACACACACACACACACAATGAAACGATCGAATTAACTTTGCCACCTAGAAAGAGAAGACAGCCATAAACCAAGAGTACTTATTTCACCTCTTTGTTTCTCTATCAAAGTCCCATTTAAATACTACTCACTGTTAGTATACGCTATGTACTATATACTGATTTTCAAAGTATATTGTTTTCGCTGTTAATAGTCAAGAAATCTGTGTACTTTGCCGTTTTGTACCATCAAGAAATGACGTTAAGTCGACTTAACGTCATTACAACTGCATCTTTGGAATCTCACTGCCAGTAAAAACGGGTTATTCAGATTTATAGTGAGTTTCAGCTCAATGTTTCGCAGTTCAGCCCACATTCTTACTGTTTCGCTGTCGTCTTTTACGCCCCCAGCAGGCAGCTGTTTACAGTAAAGAAGCTGTAAAGAGTTTCTGTTGAGCATCAAGCGATAGACACGGTTAGAGACCAGCTGGACAACATAGTGGAGCATTTAGCAGATAATTACACAGATATGTCCCTCTGGAGTTGGTGGAGACCAAACACAGAGTTAAAAGAGAGAGAATGTTGGACTTATATTCATCAGATGGTCAGAAACAAGACTCTAAACGAATCATAATGTTGCATTTTAACTGCTTGTTTAATAAAAAACTGTTTGCTAACACATTTAATGTGCAAAATAACTATTTTTCTCTTGATTATTTAAGTACATTTCACTGATAATGCTTCTGTACTTTTAGATAAGTGGGATTTTGAATAGAGGACTTGTAAGGGAGGATTTCTGACTGATGTATTTAACTGACACCACCACTACTCTTCGTTACAACTGTGGGGTGAGTCTTCAGTTGCTGTTCTCTTTTTCTTGCAGTCGCTCTTCCTCTACGTGGCGCTGCAAGCCGTCCACGATCCCCTGCAGGTGCCCGAGCGCTACGTGGCCCCCTACAGTTTCATCAAAGACCGCAATCGCAGGCTGTATGCCGGCATGGTGTCGGCCATGGACGAGGCGGTGGGCAACATCACTCTGGCTCTGCAGCAGGGAGGACTTTGGGACAACACGATCCTGGTGTTCTCAACGGGTATGTTTTTGTATCGAGACGCTGGATAAAGAACAATTTATCCTCTGTGGAATCTCGTGGAAAGGCTTTTAAGATGTAAGCAAATGCTGCACCGGATCATCTTACTTCTTTAGAGTTCACTTCTGACATTTCAACGATGAAAGAACAAGTTTTATTTACACATAAATAGGATAATCAGGTGAACGCCTCTGGGAATGCTCATATATTTTCCACTGCTTTTATTGTCTCTTTGTATCGCGTGCCAGAATGGAAACCAAATCAGTGAGTGCTAAGTGAAGAGCAATTACATTTGACGTCCGTTGACTCAAAACCACATTTTCTCTGTGCGTCAAAGCCAGTTCTCCAGGGCTGAGAGGAGTTCAGGTGACGGTTTATTGAGTTAAAGCATCAGAGGGTTTGATTATACATTTTCCTACACAAGAAGGAGGCACATGAAACAGATATCCTTGCGTGTTTCATGTTTGCAACATTTTCTCAGTCAGGATTGTCAGAGAAAAGAGCTCCTGTAATACACCAGATGTCCACTAGAGAGCAGTGTTTTCTTGTATTTATCCTGTCGGGAGCTTTGTCCAGCCAGATGTGGAGATTCACAGACAGAAATCACACTGAAGGAACGCAGTCATTGGCTTCATACACACCACTCGGTACGGTTGAGTCTTGAAACGATCATTGTTGACCTTTTTGATGGAGAACATACCGGTAGTATGAGGACGTCATTCTCTCTGCTCTCACACATGCGGAACTTCTAATGAATCACATCTGAAGTAGGTAACTCCTTTGAGGGTTATTTTTAGTGTTTCTTTTAAAAGGGTAATTAGAAGACAGGAACAGTGCTGTGAAAGTGAAGTTCAAGGTTGTTGTTTTTTTCTCATGCCCGCGATAGGTGGCCTCTTTCATTGTTCTCCTTCCACACATTTGCTTGTGGAAGGATTCAGCCGCCCATATGCCGGTCAGACGCCGAGGAAAGAAACTCCAAATACTTCCTGCTTCCGTCAGTTTCAATGTGATGCACCGGTGTTATGTAATAGTTTCTAAACACACAAACATCCCCAGTCTGAGTCAGGTCTGTCAATCGCTGTATTAGTCATATCTACAAGTCATGTTCCAGCTGTTACAATTGAGCCACATGTGTCAGAATGGACAGGAAAGAATTGGGCCCTAAACTTGAAATTCCTTTGTGATGAAACTTTGTACCTCACCGAGACTTTACTGTAAGTAAGTTAAGCGAGAGAGCTTGAGGGGAAACTGGGGGAGAGAGAGGCTGAGAATCGGCCAAAGCAGCTTGAAAAGGCATTAAGGAGCAGACGGTCTTTTCCAGAACAGTTCGGGAATCGGCAGAGACTAACTTCCTGGACTCGCATGACACAGGGAGCCCTGCCTGGATGTGATTGGTCAAGTGTGTTTATACTGGACGATGACAGTCGGTCTCACTGGTGTGTGTGCACTTGTGTAACGGTGGGATGTCGAGCAGGAGCGTTCGTCTGAACAGGAAGCAGACAAATGGATGAACATTGTTGTATCGTTTTAATGCTCTGTGGACGTTATTGTCGGTCGCTCCACTGCTTCGATCCAGACCGAAATATCTCAACAGCTTGTCGATTGATTACCATTAAATGTTGTACAGACGTTCATGTTCCCCAGAGGATGACTCCTAATGACTTTGGTGATCCTCTGACTCTTCCTCTGGTGCCACAATGAGGATCACATTTGTGGGTTTCAAGGGGAAAGTCTCAACAATAATAAGATGATCGTTATTGTTTCATCCAGCGCCACCATCGGGTCAAACATTATATTTTATACCTGCAAAACTAATCCCACCAGCCTCAGCTACACTTTGCGTTTTATTTTTCTAAATAGCAAATGTTAGCATGCTAAACTAAGATGTTGAACATTGTAAATGTTATACCTGCCTAACATCAGCGTGTTAGCTTTCTTCTGTTAGCAATTAGCTCAACGTCACAGCGCTGCTAGCGCGGCTGTAGCCACATTCTGTACGTTTCTACATTGTTCTGAGCATGGCGGTCCCTTCACAAACTTTAATGGAAATTATTTACTTTTTCCATTTTTGTGTTGATGTCAGGGATTTCTACCTGGAACGATAAAATGTTTGGGACAAAACCAACATTTAAAAGCAATATTTCCTCTCTGCTCTCTGTGTTAATTGATGCATTTAAAAGTTCGGGTTAGGCTGTAGATTCTCAGTCTTGTTGATCATTCTCTACACTGACACCTCCCTAAATCTCATTTTTATGATTTTGTTTTCATGTTCACTGATTTGATAATCCCGTATCTGTTTATTTTCTTTATCTCCTTGTGTTTTGACATTTCGTCCCCCAGATAACGGCGGTCAGACGCGGAGCGGTGGCAGCAACTGGCCTCTGCGAGGCAGGAAGTGGTCGCTGTGGGAAGGAGGGATCCGGGGAGTCGGATTCGTCGCCAGCCCGCTGCTGAAGCAACCCGGGACCGTCAGCCACCAACTCATCCACGTCTCCGATTGGCTGCCGACTCTGGTCGGCCTGGCGGGAGGCAGCACCAACGCCACGAAGCCGCTGGACGGATTCAACGTGTGGTACACAATCAGGTGAGCCGAGCTTTTCACACCTCCGGGGAGGCAGGTTCAGAGTTTACAGCCTGAGCGATAGTTTGCTCTTAGCTCTTGACAGCCTGCCCTCTCCGGGTGCCTCTTTATCCGATCCTTCCCTCCAGCTCCAGCTCCCTGTGCCTGTCTCCCTGACCCCACGTCGTCTTCTTCTTGTAGGAGCCCCCTCGCTCCCTCAATAAGCCCTTTGTTACTCTGGCAATGGGAGCTCCAAGAGAAGGAAATTCCATCAGTCATTCTCACACAAATCTGCAGCCCTTCCATCCCTTTCTGTTTTCCTTCACCCCTTGTCCTTTCTCCATCCCCACCAAGAAAGCCTGCTATTGGATAAGCTAATTAGTTTAGCTGCAAATCCCTTCATGTGGCAACATACCTGAGAATTAGAGGTAATATATTCAATTATGTTTTGAATATCTTTGCAAAGAAACTGTTTTTGCGATTCACCGCAGATGCACTTTTCCACGTGCGGGTCGTCACACAGGCTGTCACCGACTCCCGTCTGACTGACACGTTATATTTGTAAACTAAATGTGGACGCAGTGAGAAAGGAGGTGAAATTGAGGGCTGCAGCAGCAAAGAGCCCCGGCAGAAAATCGATGGCTTAACCCCCGAAACCACAAACTACTACTCACAGCCTCCACTTGGCTCGATTGGCTGCCGTGCGTCAGCTGACCGCCGGGCTGCTGCTGCCTAGCGACTCAGGGCACAAACCTTCTGTTTGTTTCGCTGCTTTGCAGTTTCATTTAGTTTTTAATTGGCTCGCCTGTTTCAGAAAACAGCAGCTCGGCCGTTTTGGAATTTACAAAAAAACAAAGGCCCCAAACGAAGGCCCAGAACAGTAGGCAGGCAGCAGAGAGTTATTTTAGTTGTGTTATCAGACACTGTGGTCAGTGAGGGCTGTGTATTCTCTGTGGTGGAGTGCGGTCAGAGCATATGACTGCCTGGTGAACAACAGCCAGCTGGTTTAGATTTACAGATCCCGGTGGAGTTTACAGTATGAGTCAGACACGGTGTGTGTGTGTTGTGTATTCACATGTTGTGATTTTTTTATCTTACAGTAATGGGGTTCCCTCACCCAGACTGGAGCTGCTGCACAACATCGACCCTCTGTACGTTGACATCGCTCCATGTAAGTTCACATGTTTCTCCGTCTATAAACGGGGCTTTTATTCCAGCCTGTCTATCCCGTGAATCAGAACACACAAGACCGAATACCTCCAGCAGGGTTTCATTTTAGGATTTGGACAAAGTTGAGGTTTCCTAACCTGCCCCTGCTGTGTGAGAGTGTGTGAACAGTGTTTATGTAGATCTGCTCCCACACAGACCCGGTGAAGAGAGACTTTTGACGTGAATTTTGAAATACGATCTTGTGAAATACAAACATTGGCTGACGCAAGCTGCAGAGATCTCGTCACTTTACTGCCAACGGGCTGAGATCATTTCACCCCGTTGTGTAAATCTGGAAACTTAGTTTGCCTCCAGTTTATTTCATACCGACGCAGCTGCACGTCTTCTTTGTGAGAAGCTTCCTGAAGCAAATGGAAACGAGGAAAGTCATCCCAGTCATCCGTCACTTGCTTTAAGAAAACTTTAAGAATTTAAATTTAAGAATTTTACCTCGCAGAACACGGGCGTTGCTGCACCGATCGGTTGGTTATTATGAGACTTTTTGGTGTTTCTAAAGGGTTTAGAAATGTGGGAATATTGAACTCTGTAGTTCACATGAAAAAGCACAGAAGTAGTTTGTGTCAAGAGCAACTTTAACAGCGTGTTAGAGCAGCTGAAGCCTCTTTAGTTTATCTAATATCCCTTTTGATAATCCGGTGATCGCTGGTTTCAACTCGTGCATCGATTCTTTATCAATAAATCCTGAGCAGGATCCGTCCCAGCTCACACTGGGAGAGAGGACGGCACCGGCACCGGGCCGACATCATAGACTCCTACAGGCAATTTAGTTAATTGTCAGTTACTTAACATTTCTTTCACCATTTCTCATGTCCCACTGACAACAGTTGAGGTTGCTGGAAACCTCAAGTGACCTCTCCTCCTCCTCCTCTCTGTGTCCACGATGTCTACCAATGCGTTTCCCTTCGTTTTCTATTGTTTTAATTCCCATCATGGCCCTCGAGTATCAAGAGGCTCATTGTTTGAGCCCGCATTCACAAACACACCAGACATCGTGGATCCAATTAACTCGAGTCAAAGCAGACAAAGCCTCAGAACAGCACGGCCTCATATAACATCCCACTAAACTCACGTTATAGATCCACCTTTAGTTTATTGTGAGTGTTTGATGTTTGTGTAGAGCGGATTAAGAGTTTATGAGGGGAGTCTCACATGGTGTCTGGATTATTATCAGTGGATGTCCTTTAATCTCAGCAGCTTTATGAAACGTGAACGCGCGTTATTTCCAGTGAAGGTAATATTTATGTTAAGATGATTTATCAATATTAACTCTGTCTAATTTAAAATGAAACATCTTCCACTTCTGTACAAATAAGCTTTATTTTTCTCACATTTTAGTCACGTGTTTGTGATTACTGTCCCTCATGGAATGGTATTTGTTCTGCTTCCATGTGAGGAACAACAAAAGTGTGTGTGTGTGTGTGTGTGTGTGTGTGTGTGTGTGTGTGTGTGTGTGTGTGTGTGTGTGTGTGTGTGTGTGTGTGTGTGTGTGTGTAGTTTAAACTCTGTGATTGTAGGGAGGTTTCCAGGAAATAGCTCATGTGACTGCCTCTTTTCTCTGGGCTGTCAGACACAGTGAAGTGGTCTCATTCTCAATATTGGGTGGTCCTGGTCTGAGGCCACTGTTTCTGACTTTGTGGAGAACGCTGCACCTTTGGTTACACGTTCAACAACAGTAGAGGTTTGGGAGGAGGACATTCTTTTTGTTGCTGAAATGTTTCACAGATGTGCCGTAATGGGCACATAATGGGTCTTCATGAGAATAGAAGCCGTTTCAGTCAGTTCTGTTCTTCTAGCATGTAGGAGGTGTGGTAGAAGACTCATTATCGCTGATCAATACCGTCTGCGGCACTGCAGTACAACTTGGTTATCTGATGCAAAAGGATCTTAAAAAAGCGACAGCCTTGGCTTACACCAGACGGGTCAATTTAACCTTAAGATAAGCATAAATTGATTTATTTTGGCAACTTGGGTGCAGCGTAACAAGCTGTAACCATGACATTGACACATTATCTCTTTATGAAGGACATCAGGTACATATTTACATATCCAGTTGGACATAAGACCAATATTTGCCCTCATTTTTAGCTCTGTTTTGGTCTCCACCAACTCTTTTGCTGCCAGTATGTCCCAGCTATAGTTGCTAACTTTGTGTGTCCGCTGTTTGGCAGCGTAGAGTTGGGTTGTTCAGAGGTCGGCTGTTAATTGCAGCTGTGAGACTAAAACATTACGAAGTTGTGGGCCGTAAAAACAAAACAATGAGCTGAAAGGTGCTAAAACGCTCTTTTTACTACGCACTTTTACATCACATCGCTCATCTAAAACTTAGCCAAGAACTACTGGGAAACATCCAAATAGCCTGTTAAAATGAAAGCTTATTTATATGCGGCTAGAAGCCAGCGGAGCTCAAATTAATCTCAACGTTTACCGTCGGTCATTACCATCTAAATCATCAACAACACTGCTGCTTTACAAGCGCCCGTGTTTTGTGTTGGAGTCTTTATTGTCAGCCGCCTCGGTGACGACCGGCTCCTCCAGATGCATTCCATGCTGAGATTCCTCTTCTCCTATTAACCCGGCCCGTCTTTGAGACCCGGCTTCTCCTCGTTTCTTCTTTTGGTTTTGTCCGTTTAGGTCATGAAAGAGCTTTGTCCTCTTTTTACATACTTCCTCCTTTCAAGCCGCTTTTCAGAATCCCCCCTTCTTTGCGCCCGCTCTGTGTGAGAAGAGGGATCCCGGCTGAATGGGTCACAGAGGGGTCCCTGAACTTCTCGCGGAGAAACCCTGGACTTGGCCCAAGCCCTTAAATCACCCCCCAAATTTCCCCTCCACACTCCTCTGCTCTCTCAGGGTCTCTTCCCACTCTCCCCCTTCGCCTTCCTCCTTTTTTCTTGAGCCCATTTGTGGATTCTCCTGCTGTGGGTCCAGATGAGCAAGGCCTTGCTTTGAGGCGCTCATGCAAAGAATGAATGTAGGACGTGTTGCGGTTTGAGGCCCCTTTTCCTGAAAGAAGCAAGTGGAAGAAGAGCTCGAAATTCAATCGAACCCACTTAACACCTAAATCTGGCATGATGTCAATAACCGCAGCTCGCCCTTCTTGTGCAAAGGATGTGAGCTCTGCGAGACTAGTTGTTTACACAAATTCCGGTTTGGTTCAGGGATCGGGCGTAATGCATGTGAGAACAATTAAGATACCCACACGGCATTTTGTGCAATGATCAGTGAAGAAATCAATGTCAGAGCTTTTATCATGTGGTTGCAAAAAAACGCTGAGATCGGAAATGTTTTAATTCTCCAGTCATGTCGCTGTGGTCGAATCCACTCCATGAAAACGAGCTCCGATGGAAGCGTTGGCTTTGTGTGGGTGTGGATTTGTCTATATGCAAAGAATGTGAGCAGAGTACTTGTTTCTGACAGCATTAGGACGCCGAAATTACTCTCAAATCTGTCTAATCAGGACCATATTGTCGGGGTCAAACGCAGCATGAACCTGAGAAGCTCTCGAGGCTACTTTTTGTTTTTAAAGAAAGGTGTGCTCTCTTCTGGCAGACTTTTTTTCCGTAAGAGCAGAAATAGCTCGAGGCTGCAGACATCTCTGGACACCCTCAGAACAAAGATGAATTATTTACTTTTGCCTCATGAAACTGCTGAGATGATGCCAGTTGGTAACTGTGACTGTTGTTCCTCGTTTTCCTACCGCTTTTCAAATCTGCACAGCTGCAGTAATGGCAAATTATTCATTGTGCTTGGCTGAGATGAAAAGACTGGTGCTGAGTCGACCACATCGCCGCCGTGTTTGTCAAATTCCTCCAGCCCTAAAAGCTCCACGTGTTTAAAGGAAAGTCATACATGCGATAATTTCTCTTCTTAAAGGAAATGATTGTTTTGAAGCTGTCAATTCCTGCAGTTTCACTGATTTTAACAGCTTTCTCATTGGTGTGTTTATTTTGACACCTCCACCTGATTCCCAGGTATGCACTGACGTTCGGTGCCAGTCGTGTGGTTTACATAGACGTCCACAGAGGGCGTTTTGTATCCAGTGGTAGTTTAATATCGTCTTAATCAGCGGTTTCTATGCATATTTTTAACGATGGATGACCTCCCTGATTAGCTCTGTCCTCCGCTCTCTGCAGGTCCTGGCACCGGGCGTCCGGTAACTTTGGCTCAGGCGGTCAGCGGAGGCTCGTGGGCCAACTCTGGCTTCAATGTGTCCATTCACGCGGCCATTCGATCCTCCAACTGGAAGCTGCTGACTGGCTACCCGGGTCAGTATCTTCTGTCACCCTTAATGCCGTATTTAGTCTGTGGTGGGAGGCAGGAAATCAAACGCGCTTGTGCACGGAAGCACATTTAATTCTTATCTCTGCTAATCAGTGGAGGAGGAAGTATCCAGATAGTTTAAGTGAAAGTACCAAATCATGAATCAAAGCAAAATGTACTTAAAGTTACTGGGAGGAACTTTTAACTGGTTATGAAGCAGTCTCAGTTTAAAACTGATACCTCTCTGTGACCTCCATCAGTAAAGAGACCATCAGAGAGAAGATGCTCTGTTTCTTTAGAGTTATTCTTAATGCTCGTCATCGGGGCCACCGGGTCCGATTCAGGCAAAATCGGACGGATCACGCAGGTTCACCAGAAACTCCTTCAACTGTGCCTCCGGTAGTGACTAGCCCACCACAAACAGACCCAGATCCGGCTTTGCTGCTTTGAGGCTGGTCCTCCTTCGCCTCGCTGCTGGAGACCCAGGACGTATTGCTGGACCCGCTGGAGGGAAGGGAGGCACGGGAGAACCAGAAACAGCACTGAGAGGGGCCGACTGTCAGACCCCGCTGCAGTAAAATGAGAGGTTTTTTAAAGAGACTCTGGTGCTCAGGAACAACTAAAAAAACTACCGCTTTAGTCCACAGGGGGCGCCAACATCAACACAACATGAAAGTTCCTTGTAGTAACTTTAAAGTATCCAAAACAAAAGGCCTTAGTTACACGGCTGCTGATGTCGTCATCTTATTTCCTCCAGGTTGTGACGTTTGGTTCCCGCGGCCCGGCCACAACAGCTCGGAGTCCGGCCCGTCCCGAGCGGATCCGCTGAAGTCCGTGATGCTGTTTGACGTAGAAAAAGATCCAGAGGAGAGGAACGACTTATCCGCCACCTTCCCAGCAGTCGTGGAGTATCTCCTCAGGAGGCTCCATCAACACCAGAAAAGCGCTTTGCCGATAAACTTCCCCGACGAGGACCCCAGATGTGACCCGGGCCCCACGGGGGCCTGGGGGCCCTGGGCTTAAACAGCCATGAGGTTGTTTACGGTGAACTACAGCAGCAGTAATCTCTTCTGTGGAGAAGAACAGGGACATGTTGTACTCTGTGATGATTCTTTATCCTTCCAGCAGCCAGCGGATAGCCTCGGTCGCTAACCGACTGACAGATGCTCTCGTTATTGTCGATGTGCTCTGAGATGCTTACGGAGGTTTAGTTGAAGCGATTGCGTAAACGCTGTCAGCTACACATGTTGCTGATCTGTAAAGACTATACCTCCCTGCTGCTGCAGGTATTTGCACTTCATTTATCTACTGTTGAGAAGCCGCAGGCTCCTTTGTGGTGTCTTTTTGGAGCTTTTTAAGGATCGAACAGGAGAGAACATAGCGTTCCAGAAAGCAGATAACGTTGATTTTAGACAGATTTTAACATTTCAAACCGCACTAATCAATATTGTTTGTTGACAATGCATACAATGATTACATGTAATGTGAAAGGAGGAGAGAAGTGGCAAACTCGCAGAGAATTACCGTCAGACTCCCCTCAGCTCTGCAGACTGTTTTAGCATCTTTTAGCTCATTGTTTTGGTTCAGTCTCACAGCTCTCATATCAGACGACCAAAGCTACTAACTAGTGGAGCATTTAGCCGCACAAGAGCCAGACATTTCCCTCAGGAGTTTGTATCTTCAAAGATATAAATATGTTTTATTATTTCAGAGACGTCTTATTGAAATGAAATGACAAATGAAACAAATGTTTAAATCTACATATTCTTTGACAGACTGTTAAACCTAACTCTGCTATTCTTTGTCGATGGAAGGAATACAACTTAAGTTGCTGCGCAGTTTGTGAAAATATAAAACTTGGACTTCCATTAGATCATGAAAATATCTTTTTAAATATGTAACCAGCTGCCGGAGAAGATTTATCTTCTTAGGGAACTATATGTGACCAACTCACAGAGTAATGTTCAAGATAAAAAGAGCCAAAACAAAACGTGCTTCTTATCCGCTGGATGTGTAAATAAGCAACTGTTTGCTGACATCATCTTTATGAGTTGATAATATGTCAATGTTTTGTTTAACTGGTTTTGTTGCCTCTACAGTATTATTGCAGGGTGAAAACATGTTGCTTTAAATTAACTGCGCTCTACTTTCTTTGTTTTTTTTATTAATTGTACACACTATTCGTGAGCGCCTATTTGCCAAAGATCAAGATGTGTTACCAATTTATGTGTTTTGTTCAGAAAACAAAATATTAAAAAGTTGAAAATGTTTGTAAAACAAACTGAAACTGTGATTCTGTTACAGTCCAGTTATTTCTTTGGGTTACTTGTTTCCCTCCAGTTGTTAACGAGTCGGTGCTAAACGGGTTCTCAGTGTGTTTCTAGTTTAGAGGTTGAAAATGTGAGGAATGTCTTGTGCTCTTCACGTATCCCTCGTGTTATGTCTTCAGCTTTAACTCCCTCGTGCCAGTCATTCATGGATGTACAGCGCTCAAGGTTTAGATACAGTTATGGTGACACGTCTTCAAGGTTGCTGTAGATAAAGATTCTGTCCCCACATCGTGGAAAACAAACATACCAAAGAAGGAAAATCAGACGGGATCATTTGCATATTTGTAATTTAAGCAGGATAAACTCATTTCCTTAATGCACCCTCCCTCTTTGACCTTTTGCCCCCTGGTGATGGACCCCCTACGGGCAGCAGACGACCACAGGAAAGGCTCCCTGCAGAGAGCGGGCGGCCGGGTCCTAATGTGGGCCGTGACCTTTAACCCGTCATGTGAATTGATTGGCAGCTGAGCGACGCCAACAACAATGCTGCTTACTGTGGAGGACAGTAGAGCTGCACAGAGTCGGATGTCACGGACTCTCGTTTCCTTTATAAAAGGGTTTTTCTTTTCACAATTGTGAGCCAAGTTTGTTGATTGTATTGTTGAAGTTTGGTCTCTACAGTTTCTACAGTGTGGTACGAAATAATAGCCTTAACTGAGCTAGATATGAGTCTACCAGTATAGGAAACGTTTTGGAAAATTGCTTTCTTGCCGAGAGTTAGATGAGAAGTCTGATGCCACTCTCATGTTTGTGTGCTAAATATAAATACAGTTAGCTTAGCATAAAGACTGGAAACGGGGGGATATAGTCTGACACATAACCTCGTAAAAAAAAAAACACGACTTCACTTATACACATTATTTTTTGATATATAACATGCTGGTAGGCCTTTACCTTTATACAGAGCCAGGCTAGCTGTTTCCCCCTGTTCCCGCTCATTATGCTAAGCTAATTTAGCTTCATACCCAACGGACAGATATAAGTGTGGTCTTCTTATCTAAATCTCATAAAGCATCAATGAGTGGTTTCACATTTCAGTCTCAACTTCCAAGCTTTTTACGGAGCTTTCAACCGCATCACATGGTCTTCATCACTGGATGGAGTGTTTGTTTCGGAGACACCGTCCATAAAAAAAACTCTTCTCATCCTTAGAATCTGTGAGTCCTGTGACGAAGACTGTGTGATGCTGTTGAAAGCTCCAGAAGAAAGCTTGTAAGTAACCTTGAGTTGTGATTTTTGTGTGTCAAACTAGACCCAGATGGAACTTTGATGCTTAATTAATGAGCGTCTTTTGAGATTTTGGGTCGTGTTCCTCTGAATTATTTATTTAGTAACAGCCTGCTCCATATGGCCGCCCGAGGCTACTGCGCGATGCCGCTAATGTGCTTACATTTTTAAAAGTTCCTTTTTATTATCTTGCTTTTTAAGAATCAGTGGTTTCTAATTTTGAGTAAGTGTCTGTTTGAACTAAAGTCTATACGTGCTTTTAAAAAAAGAGCCCCGCCATCTTCTCCCAAAGTGGAATTTAAACTGGGATTTTGGTAATGGGCGACTTCCAGAATACCACATGATGATGTTATGTTTCTGAGAAAGCACTTCTTACATCGCTGAGGCTACAAATTTGTCACTGGCTTGTTCTGTTAGTTTACTCTACAATCAAAACTCTGCCTCTTGAGATGATGGGACGGCTCATTTAATTAGACGTTGCTGCCCGCTCTGCCGTTCATCTAATGAAGCCCGAGGCCTGCGAGTTTCACTTCGCAGACCACTTTTGCACTTCTCCTGCCCTGGTTTGTGGTGAACTACCCCTCCTGACAAGCGCTTCCATCTTGTCATTACGAGTGTCACAGCTCGTCTCCTCCTCGGGCTTTATACTTTTCTCTTTTCCAAAGTGGTTTTGGTGTGTCTTTCACACTTAATCCTGCACTTTGACTCGGCCCTGTGAAGTCTGCCTCGCGGAGTGACAAACGCACTCTGATTTGCCTCTGCTGAATCAACACATGGGATTCGCCGGCTCTGACGTCGCCCCCCCCTCTGACTCTTTTACGTTTTGTTTTTTCAGCTGTGACAAAGCAATGTGTGCCACTGCTGTGATGGCCCTGAAAGATATGACAGCGTAAAAAGATATGATAGCAGATGTTATGATGGTGAGCACATGTGGGACACATGCGTTTAAAAAAAGAACACGGCTGCCACCCTTCATTCCCCTTTTGGTGTGTCCACAAGGAGACACTGAGGTGAGGTGCGACTGGAATTCCAAACAAGATTGTGTCTGTCTGTGCTGCCTGTGAAAACAGATTAAAATCATACTGACCACTGCAGGCAGGAATGTGTTGAACCTTGAGCCTCGAAGAGGGGAAATCCAACAGCTTATCACACCCAACAAAGAAGAAAAGCTCCTCGTAGTGCTGGAAGACCACCACAGATAAAAGATCACGTTCGAGGAGGCGTTATTAGACTGGAACCCTTAAATTGTTACGTTATTTTAAAGTTTGTTTCTGTAGCTGAAGGTGCAACTTATCGCTCTTGTTCTTAAAGCATGTAATCACTTTTAAGTGTAATTACAGACAGAAGAGCTTTAGAAGACTCGAGCTCAATGCCTCCTCGGTTAATAGGATGATTAAAGGTCTTCAGCAGAGCGTGCGCTCAGTATACTTCATCTTATTCTCAAGCAAGGACTGGCAACACCTTCAGTAACACTTTAGATTAAATCCATTATGTTACAGGGTTAACCAATGAAATACTTAAAGAAGTACAGGGAATATGTGCGTAACAAAGTTTAAATTACTCTGTAAACTTTTCCAGTAAATATTGAATATTTACAAGGTACAAAAAGGGGGAATATGTCTGATATTCATGTCTTCATACAATAGCCGTGCCATGAAACTATTTGTGGCACTTTCACTGAGTGAGAAAGATGAAGAGGCCCAGCGGTGCTTTAAGCTAAATGCTAACACATTTAGCGTGTTAGCATTGCAAGCGTTTGCTTTTCTCTCGTCTCCTTCCCTTCTACTTACAGTACATATTTGTTTTGTCATAAGTACCCATAAGTATTTAATTGATGTGCCATACAAAGTGAATAAGTACACTGTTCTTCCCAATCAAGTCAAGTTTTAGTGTCACTTATACTTAGATGCCAATATCTCCAGAATAAATCTAACGGATAAATAAAAAAGGAAATAAATCGAACAAATAAAATAGAAAATTAACAAACGTAAAATAAGTTTAAATATAGAAAATGAAAAGAGACAATGACATTATACACACAATATAACAATCTAATCAATAATCTACATCCTCATTGTTAAACAGGAACATTAACACAGGATGTTGAATCAGTTAGCGTTTGAATCCGTTCAGATCTCAGATCGGGAAACTACACAATATATGATGTATAATAGGAGTTTTTCTATTGTACTCTGTTGTGCTTTCATTCTGACTGTCAGTCAGGGTTAACAGCGCTGCCAGGAACTGGATGGATAACATCAGGGCTGTTATTATTGACAATAACTGCTGTTTGACCAGAAACACCCGGACCACGTCATGAGACGGCCCTCGTGTGTTTTCACTGTATTCAGTGAGATCCTGGCTCCAGTTGTTCTCCTCCTAGTCTCAACAGTCTCAGAATAGTCCATTCACACTCGTTCACTGTCGTGCAAAGCTTGCACGAATGTACAGAAGTTGTTGTTGCACATCCTCGCACTGAATTTGGCGAGAATAAAAGACTGGTGAATGGGAGATGCATGCATTTTGTAGACACATGCATCTGGAAGTAATGCTCAGTCTGGCTTTTAGCTGTGCAGCGTACAGACAGACATGTTGGACGTTCAGAATGTGAGCCGTCTGCATTGACTGGTGTGAGATGTGAGTCTTTAGCTCAGCTGTTAGCCTCCCAGTAAAGGTTAAGAATAAGATTTAGAGAGAATGTAACATGGAGACAACCCACATGTCCATGTGGTACTATGTGAGTAGCTTGTCTTTAGGGTGAGTGGTAATCAGAGATGCTAAGTCAACAACTGCTGTAAGACTAGATGTTCAATTTCCTCTTTAATACGTTCGAGTGTTATTGTGGTAGAAGAATATCTTAATCTGCTGAATACTTTTGTGATTAATTGATTTATCATTTAATTTACAAAATCTTGATCTTAATCTCCTAAAGTCCAAGGTGATGTCTTCATTAACCCAAATAAATAAAGTTTCTTATCATAGAAGAAAATGAAGAAAGGCAATAAATCCTCAAAGCTGAGAAGCCGACGACAGAGAAGCTTTTACGTTGTTGGTGGAAAAATAACTGAGCCCAACCTTGATGTTTGTCCTAAAGTAAACTACATGTTTTTGTTGCCTAAACCTAACTTTTATTTGTTATTTTAAACCCAACCATGATGTTTTCCCTAAACTCTACAAAGTGGTTTTGTTGCCTAAATCAAACTTTTATTTGTAACGTAATGTTATCACGAAAGAACAGACAACTCGTGTCCCTGTACACAAAAACAATATCGAATTTTGGGGATTTTTTTTGCACTTTTTAAATCATGCAGTTGGTGAACTAAGGCCGGGGTGAACCTTCACTTTAATATTATATTCCATTTCTGCCAATAGATGTCCCTAACTAACACACACTGCTCCTTTAACGTATTGGGTTTTATTCAGCTTTTTAATTCCTTTATTTAATCTGAAAATAATAATAAAAAGAAACAGACATTTCACAGCAGTGGTCCTTCACATAGTATTTCACATGAAGTGACATTAAATATTTAATGTATCCTCGTGAGTGTGAGCAGCAGTGATTGGTGGACGGGGGCAGTCACTCCCATCCCTACGGGAGTCTGTCTGGAGCAGAAGAGGAGGACGGAACCATTCATTCTTCTGTGGTTCCCGGAGAAAACGTGGAAGATGAAGAGGAGACACTGAAGGGGAAAAGAGTCCGGATCAAACCCGACAACCGAAACTCCACAGAGAAGACTCAAAACACATCCTCAGAGGCGTCGCTTCAACTGCAAATCCCCCAAAAACGCACCGCCAGC